GAACTCTTGACGGCAGTCCATACTTTCTCACTCCTTCCTTAAATTTTTCTAGGACTGTGTTGCTTCTATTGTTATCTGCACAGTGCACATAAACAAGTAATCGCGAGTAACCATCAATGCAGCAGTGCACAACAAACCGATATCTTATTAACTTATGATTGCCGTCTATGTGCATAAGGCGTTTGGGCAAGGAACTGAGTATGTTCGTCGATAGATAACTGGTCTCCATCTTAATGTAATACCAACTGGATCTACTCGCCTTAAACTCTCTCGTACTTTTCTTCGTTGGACACGTATGTGTCTACTTCGCAAGGCTCCCACCAGCCTACGCTCACCAATATTTGGAGTTAGTTTTTGTATATCTTTAACGACACTATCCAAATCTTCACTGGATATTTGAGACCATTGTAAGTCATAGTCTACATTTAGACCAAACTCTTCTCGCTTTCTTGTTATTGTAGTTATACTAACACCTAAAATCTTGGCAATGGTTCTCCAATTAAAGTGTAAAGATCTTAAAAATTCCAGTTGTTCTTTACTGACTTCAATTTTAGGACGACCAGGACCATTACCTAACTTTTTTTTTCGGCATGAAAAACCCAAATACGTTGTACTTGGCCGTTGGTGACATAGAATTCCGCATATTTCATCAACATTTTGCATAAGTAAGACTAGACGAGTCTTTAGTGAGTTAAATTCCCCCTCGTGTGTTCTCGTTATTTCTGAGATGTGATCAGTCAACATGCGTAACGTTGCTGATGCCTCTACCAGTCGCCTAGTTAAAGCCTCCAAGATCTCCTCGTCTGCACTTTCTAAACTTTCGTCAAGATGGTAGACTTGACTAAATATAGATTTAAGTTCGTGAAAGAAAATCCTCGCTCATTGCGCTCTCTCGGATGATTTACACTACCACTTGTCGCCATTTTGTTTTATCTTAATGAGCGCGCGCAGCATTATGAATTTAATTAGGACATTTTAAAATCATATAGAATATTTTAAATCCATATGGAATATTTTAAATCATATGGAATATTTTTAAATCATATGGAATATTTTAAATCATATGGAATATTTTTAATCCATATGGAATATTTTAAATCCATATGGAATATTTTAAATCCATATGGAATATTTTAAATCCAATATAGAATATTTTTAATTGAAGATTCAAATATATTAAATAAATCGAATAAAGATATGTTCGGCGCGCCATATTCTTGTATAATTTCAAAGTTCTTGATTCTGAATAGCTTTACCATGCATAAATCGGTTCGGCTTGAATAACTTCAGCACATTTTTATCGTACAGCTGCAAGTACTTTTCTTTGGGCGTGAATAAATCACAGTTTTCTTTGGCACACTTTAAGAAGGCGTGTTAAAAGTAAAACGTTTTGGAGCCCCGTTTTCGCAAAAGCATCTTTGTTTCTCAATAGAAACCATTTTTTTCCTTGGTTATTTTTTTCTATCTCTGGCTGCAAAACGTGTGTTGAATTAATGCAAATGGATCTGCAATGCTTATTTTTTATGCAACTCCACATGTATATTTTGTTGATGATTAAATGAAGATTTTAATTGTATTCAAATACAAAATTTATGATTAGCTAGTTGACAGGTTCTCAGCAGACATTCAGAATTAGTTGCTAGATTAGATTAGATACCGATAAGTTGGAACTGTTTCAACAAAACACAGATGTTTCACCCGAACTATTTAAAGACTTAAATGAGAAACGTTTTTCCTTTGGTAGGTGTAGTGCCTCTATTTATCAATTCTCGGGGTTTTTCGAAAATACATCCAAACAAGTTTAGGTTTATAATAGTGCATTTTTAACAAGTTTAAATTAAAGATGTACTGAACTATCTCGTACTCAAGTTGAGACAAATGAAATGAGAAATATCTACGAATTGACTACTTTTTTTCAAAAGTCCTAGGTGGTTGTGATTGTCTTTTGCTAATTCTATTTAAGGTTTGTTTTTCTGCCAGTTTAAACTGTTTTGAGATAATTTTATGTTTATGTGGAACGATTGTTGCTACCATTCCAATGAATATTTTTTGTTGTGTTAAGCATCGTGAATCCCATTATAAATGTCAAGCAATGACTCCATTTCTTTTGTCTGCATTTTCTAATTATGGCTTCTTTTAATCATATATTTCCGTCAAAATTTTCTGATGAAAATAACAAAAAGTAAACCTACAGTTTCATAAATATGTAATTCCCAGCCTGTGCTAGCTTCATTATAATTACCTCAAGGATTAAGTTTGGTCTGCATTTTGATTGTTTGATTATGCTATTTTAATTACATTTCCATCAAAACTTTCTCCATATATTAATGATATGAAAAATAAATCTTCAGATTTGCAATGCGCAGGTTCTTGCTATGTTTAAGGTTTTGTTACACGTGGCTGGTGCATTTTCAAAAACAAAGGTTTTCTTTCCGTTTTGGTCTTCCGTCCACACGTAACGAGCGTTTTCTAATGACAAATACGACGACTTTCGAATACGATAGTATCAAAACTACAATCCGGGCTACAAACTTAATTATTTGTGCTTTTCTACGTATTTTAAGCATTTAGCGTATTCTGTATCGACCGTAAATACGATTTGAAACGATACGTGCCGATGCATTTTTTCAAGGTCTAAGCCTTGTCATGGCGATTATAATTATCTCAAGAACTCCGTTTTTCAATTGTTTGATTAAGGTTTTTTATATCATATTGCCGTCAAAGTTCTTTCCCCGAAGAAAATTACAAAATAGTTAGCCTATAGCTTCCTAATGCGAGTGTTCTAGCTGTGCATAGTGATCATAAATCCAATTATAATTACCTCAAGGATTAGGATTGTCTGCATTTTTTAATTGTTTGATTAACGTTATCACATTCCTCATTATTATCACATTCCTTCAAAATGCTTTCTCCACACGAATGATGTAATATTCTTCTTGCTTGTTTTCACAGTATAATGACAAGTTGCAGCGATAATAATTTATAAGACAGTTATGATGCATAATATTTTTTCCGAACCAAAACTGGCATTGACCTTGAACGTCGTTTCACAATCTTAATTGGCGGTGCATGAAATACATTGGGCCGGCAAG